TAGGCTGGGTGCAGTGGCTCACACCTGTAATCCCAGCATTTGGGAGGCCGAGGCGGGCGGATCACAAGGTCAGGAGCTGGAGACCAGCCAGTTCGAGACCAACCTGGCCAACGTGGTGAAACCCCGTTTCTACTAAAAATATAAAAAATTGGCCAAGTGTGTGCCTGTAATCCCAGCTACTCGGGAGGCTGAGGCAGGAGAATCGCTTGAACCCTGGATGTGGAGGTCACAGTGAGGTGAGATCGCACCACAGCACTCCAGCCTGGGCAACAAGAGCTAAACTCCGTCTCAAGATAAATAAATAAAACTTTTAAGTTTATGAGCTCCAAAAAGGAGAAGAGGGGGATTCCTCTCCTCCTTTGTCACTGCTGGGAACCTCCGCTTAGAACCATGCCTGACACACGGTAAGTGCTCACTAAGTATTTGCTAACTGCATTTGGGAGGGGGCTGGGGGAAACTAAGGTCTGGAGCAGTCGCCTCGCAAGGCCCCATGTCACCCGGCCAGATAGCAGCAATCCAGCGGCTCAACTCCAGGGCTGGACAGCTGAGCCCCACCTCCGCCTGGGCCTGGTGGAGGGAGGTCCCCGCCTGCACAGCGGCCACCTGTTTCCTCCCTAGCCTGTGATTAATGGCCGTGCAGCCCCATCCATCACGCACCAGCGCCAGGCTCTGTCCTGGAGGCCGAGGGGCCCAGCGCTCATTTGTAACCAGGCCCTGAGGCTGGGCTCAGACGGTTGGAGCCCTGAGACAGATCCCCACCCCGCCTTGGCCCCAGATGTGGCCCTGAGAATCCCAGGGAGAGGAAGCACCATGAGGTGGACACGTGGAGTAGAGATGGAGGGGGCAGTGGCAGCCATCCAGTGTGACACGCCAAAACCCCCGTTCTCCCCAATTCATTACACGTTCCCTTCTGCGTCAAGCTGTCTGGCCTTCCTTGCCCACCCCGCCCGCCACGTTCCGTTCTTGCTACACCCCCAAAGCAGGTCTTTGCTGTGGGTCCAGCCCAGGCTGCCTGTCTCTCACCTGATCTCCCTCCCATCACGCTACCAGGGAGGAGCTGCCCTGTCTCTTCCATGCTTTAAGCCAGGGGTTCTCATTCTGGTGTCATTGTGCCCCCCACCATGGTACACTGGGCAATGTCTGGGGGCATCTGTTGGGGGAACACCTCGGGGGTGCTCCTGGCATGGAGTGAAGAGAGGCCAGGGACATGGCTCAGCACCCTGCAGTGCCCAGGACACCCCCCTGCCCCCCCCAGAGAATGAATTATCTGGGCCAGAATGTCCAAAAACCAGATTTTCTTTTTTTCTTTT